AAAAAAAAAAAAAAAAAGCCAAAGCTCTAAAGGCAGAACCCAAATCATTCTTATTTACATTCATATTATTTTCAAATTCCAAAAATGGGTACGTAGAGGGGGAACTGGTCAGTACCTGCTTGTTTGGAAAGGCTCGTATGCAGCGGGTCTGGTACTTGAGGCTGGACTCCCGGCGCTGCTGCACGTAGCCCATGTTCCGCAAGTCCCACACCAACACTCTGCGGCCGGCGGTGCCCACAATCAGCCGGTCTCCCGACACTGAGAGGGTATAAACCTTTCAAGGAAGACCAGAACTTGCTAAAGATCACCCACTTGTCTAAAAATGGCTTTTGTCCCAAATACAAGTCCACTAATCAGAAAACCATAGAGAAATGAAGCTCATCAGGTTCCCAAAGCCAGGTACCAAATTTTAAACAGTACATTTACACAGGCCAAGTCATAGCCAAGCAATAAAAAACCTAAAATCTTCTTAATACTTAGTCAAGTATCATATAATGTATATTTTAATTAATTCTGCAAAAACACTTTTGAAGACAATTCTCTTCATTACGAAAAACAAGTATTTAACCATTTTTACAAACTTGTTTCACTTAGTGACAATATAAAAGGGTAAAAACTACCAAAAAGGAGACAATTAAGCTATAAAACAATTCAGAATACCTTTCAACAGGCCTCTAGCTTTCCATAAATCAATCATTTTCAAAGTTATTTTTTCTATGACCACCTTTTGGAAGATTTCATGTTGTAACTCTAAAAAATCTTGACTTTCCCAGCTGTCACACTGAATAGGCCTTCCCAGGAAGAAAAGGGGAGCCATCATTCATTAGGTGCTTGGTTGCCTTTGGTGGCAAACTCAAGATCAAAAGACAAGGATAGTGGTCTGGCCCATGACAAAGCGAATTCTTGTGCCCTGATGTCATACTAACCACTCAAGACAGAGTTCATTTTTAGGGAAAATTTAAAAAGCATTTTCTCCCTTAAGAGCACTTATTTTTTCCCCCACATAATGAATGCCTTTTCTTCAATATTAAAACAATGTCCACAAAAAATTCCTTTATAATAAATGATAGAATTTCCTGCAAGCAGGCATTTAAAGTGTTTTACTTGCAAATACTATTTGAAGACCAAATAGACAGTAAATTCTTGAAAATGGTGGCAAAACAGTTCCCTGATGTTAAACCATTTTTAAACCTAGACTTCAGATATATAACTGTATTCTGGTTATCACTTTCGATTAATAAGCAACTCTAATTTCACCTCATTTAATATTTTAAAACCTTAAGAAAATCACTATAAAAAATGAAAAGGCCCCATGACATGGTATGAGAATCTCTTTAACATTCATAATTAAACCACATTCAAAAAAACCAAGTTGGGGTTAACAATGTAACTCAACAGTCTCTACAATCTGCCCTTAATATTCAGCCACTAATTTGACCACAGGAAAAATAAGGAATTAAAAGTATTCAAAAGAATAGTTTTAATATAAGCACATTTAAATAAGAGGATTATAAAATTTACCAGTTTATTCGATAACACAACGTTTGCACAAAAACAGAAATTAAGCTAAGACATACAAAAATATCAAACTTAGGAAATACAGAATCCAGAAAAAGATCAATTTATAATAGTACAATCAGATTGGAAATTTTATCTTAAATCTTTACTACACAGGTGACACACAAGCTTCTAATAGTGCTTTCTATCCCCACTGATCGTAAATCAACTGAAACCACTGTCATGCTACTGACTAGGTATATACATTTATCAAAGAAAGTATTAAAAAAGTGACATAATGAACCCTACTGAACCAATAAGCAGCTTCAGTATGGCTGTCCATTATATGATATTCTGTCAGCAATTTATCACAGCTCTTAACATGTTACATTCAACCATAAATCAAGACTAGAAACAATGCAATTATTTTATTCTGAACAAAGGTCTTGCCAGGAGTGGACTCGACTGTGATGTGACTAAAGTAATAGCTCTTTGGATGCACTACAGTATATTATGATGGCTAGCAAGAACTGAATAGTATATTTACACTGAGAAAATAGACTCAAGTGAAGGATACCTTTAAACTGCTAAAACAATCAATCTTTAAAATTAACCACCACCTGATGAAGTCTGATAAGGATACAGCAAGAATGCTCAAGTACACTTTCACTGTACAGATCAAAAGGTTAGAATAATACATGTTACAGTTTTAAGAATTTTTGTTCATTAGAACCTTCAAACTGCATGTCAATAAAATAAATAAATAAAAAGTAAAAATTAGGGACTACAGAACACCTTTCTCATTAAACTTTAAATGATAACCTACTTCACTGTCTTAACAGTCAAGTGAAACCTCTGGTCATAACTCCATCCCACTTTCTGGTTTGGGTGCATCAAACCCAATTTAAGGTAACTGAAGTCTTGCTAAATGACTTCTCTGAAATGACAGTGTGTTGCTCTCGATCCTGGGATTTAGAGCATTAACAGTACAGAGAAGTAGATTTATTTAAGCTAGAGCTATCCACCACAAAATGGACAACCATCAGAAAAAAGGTGACTGAAATACCAAAATTAAACTTCCTTTGCGTCAAAGTATTTCCATGTAATTGGGTTTGTAAAAGAGACCCATCACCTCTTAACCTTTAAATTCAATACCATATCTATCAAATGTGTATCAAGTCAAATCACCGCAAGGAACATAATTCCTGTTAGGAAGATAAAGAGCCTACCTTTTCAGGCTGAGAGAAGGTCCCAGCATTACAAGGAGTTCTGGGATCCCACAACTTAACTGTCTGATCCCAACTCCCTGTAACCATCACATTCACTTCTGGACAGTATTCAACACATCTGATAGGAGCATCATGGGTTCCAACAAGATTTTCTACAGGGGGGAAAAAAAAAATAACAAAAAACACCACCTACCTTTACTATCTCTGCTAAACAGAGATTCCTCAAGTGAACAACAGAAGGAAACATTCAGTGAACTGTAATGAATCTAATTCTACCAACTCAATGGAAATGTCTGCATATAAATATTTCTCCATGACTACAAAGTTACCCATTCTTCTCTGTTCACCTTACTGCACAGAACACATAGTCTGATTCACGTGCATCGTACATATCAATGGCTGACCTGAATTTCAAATTACATTAAAATGGTGACACATCTGTAATGTTCCTCCCTTGATTTCTTAATTGTTTGACTCTGCAGTTCTAAATGAATCTAGTGTATGTTCTCATACATGATAGATGCTCAAGAAAAACTTGGTGAAAGAACAAATGACTGGAGAACTCTAGTCTTCTGGATCTGGATAAAACTTACTATATTAAGCCAGTGCTTACAAGAAACTTTTTAAAGTGGTAAAAAGATTATCTAAGAGCTGGGGATGGAAAAAAAAGCAGTCTTAGGATTAATCCACTTGGTTTTCCCTGGAGGTCAAATTTCCAATACAGAATTTCTTTTCTTTCAACTCTTCGCACTGTCTCATTCATTCACTCAACTAACTTTTACCAAATACCTATTATGTACCAGAATCTACGCCACAAGCTAAGGATACAAGAAGGAACAGTGTTGTCCTGACACTCAAACAGGAGAATTACCTGTTTAAAAATTTATCACTTAAACAAGAAGGAAATGCATCTCATGAAGCTTAGTAATGACCTGAGGATGACAGCCAATTCTCTTACTCATGGTCTCTACCACCAAAAATCTCCAGTTTTTCTTTCCTTTTAAACAAACCTGCAAACTAACTTTTAGAGGAAGCTGCTAGCAAACAAAACCAAACATCTGCAGTTATGATTACATGACAAAGTGACTTTCACACAAAAGCCTCTCTCCTAATTGGGTTCTCATTTTTTTTTTTGACAATTGTGCCCATCCTCTATCCACGCACCCACTGTCCAACTCATCCTCATGTACTCGTATCTCTGTGCCTTGCCATCTGCTGGAGTGCATCATATCTAACATTAGCATGCATATAAAGATAAATAAATGCTCCCCTAAAGAGCTCTGTGCATTTGGGTTCCATTCCAATCTCTGCTCCCCTCCAAAGTCACAATAAAAATTTGGGTAAGTCATTTCATATTTTGGACTCTAAGTAATTAATTAAAAAGAAAGGTGTCATCTTGTTAATCCTTCAGTAAGTTCTTTCAATAAATCACATTCTATGATAAATAATTATACAAGCAGGAGTAATACAGTACCGGGACATGACTATCATGTTAAATTTTTGAAAACCTATTCCCCTTTAGTCCAAATTAATTAGTTTCTGAAATGAGAACTCTGAAACATCAGCTCTGTCCTGGAAAATCCTAATGAAAAGGAGACCACTGCAGGACCTAGTTTAAAAACAAGGTAACGGTGAAACACTTAAATGCCATTTCATGTAAATGCTTCAGATGGAGATCATAATGGACTTTATGAAAAAAAATGCATGCAATCAGAAACTTAATGGTTATCTTTTTTACAAAACGTCCCACATTCAAGCGCAAAAAACACTTTTATTTGCATATAAGCAACATAGAAACTAAACAATAGGACATAACCTTCCTAAATAAACATCATACCCTAGTACTGAAGGAACAACAAAAATGGTAAACATGTGGCCATATTACCTTGATCGGTGTTCAAATCATGCATTTTCAATTGATGGTCCAACCCCCCACTCCAGGCATGCGTTGGGTCCTACAAAATAAAGTTTCAAATCATTTCAAACGCACAGGGCTCTACAAAGTGTTTCAAAATTCCTGTTTCTATCTCTTCTGTTTATGCTCTGGATGACATACACTAAGCTCAACTATTCACTACAAATAAACAAAAAACAACGCAAAAAACAAAGCAAGTAAGTGGTAACAAATTAAAGAAGACTTCTTCACCACACTGGCTGAGAATAAACAGGCATTCCTGTTGAGTAGCAAATAAGCCTTTCAATAGGCAGCCAAACTGTACTATCTTGTTACAAATTTCAAATACTATTGTCATATAACCAGAAAGTTTGCAGGGTTGCTCCATCACACTTCACCTGAAAAGGGGGACCGAATTTCTTCTGTCTGAATGTCCCCAACACCAAAAAACGGTACCTGACTTAAGGCAGGTATTCGGGAAAATGTAAAGACCTGTCCACATAACAACATCGACACAAGCCTCTACCTACCTACCCATTGCTGGAAAAGGGATGCTATTAACATGGGATGGCGTAAAGTCAAAAGTGGGAGCAGGACACCTACGTAGAAGGCGCAGTCCAGGACAGCGCCAGTGTGCTGGTACTTGAGCCGCATGGAGTTGGCCGGCACATCATACAGGCGCACCGAGGTGTCCCAGGATGAGATCAGCAGGAACTGGGAGGTGTTAGGGCTGAACTTGACCGAAGAAATGCCGTCCTCGGGTGGCTGGTTCAGCTTGAACTCGTTAGAACCGGTCATCTACGGAACAAGCGCCCCAAATTGGGAGATTGGCTGACCGAGGACCGGGCGGTGAGACCTCCACGCACGAGGAACCTAGGGAGCGTCGGCTGCGAGGCCTCTGCGCTTGCGCAGACCCTGCGCGCCCACCCCGTCTCGCCCGCCTGTTCCCCGCCGCCTCTTCCAGACGCCCCAACGGGCCGGGCCTAACTCCAGCCCGCAGTCTGGCACCGCTACCTCCTACACCCCGGCCCCGGAAGCCCCCAAACTAAAGGAAAGCGAAACGGGTTCCTTGCAGACGGCTCCACCAGCTCCTGGCCCAGGTAGTCCCCGAAAAGTACACCTCTGAGCAGCGTCGCCTCTCACCGCTACCTTGAGCTCCACTCAGAAGCAACTTCGCCGCCGCCGCCGCCGCCGCCGCCGCCACCACCTCCTAGCTTGCCTCAGTGTACTCGCAGACTGGGAAAAGGTGGGAAGGAAGCTCCAGTGTATGCCTGCCATTGGCTGGTTTCAAACGCCAACGTCTCACTCTAGGCAGTGGATTGGTCTGTTCAGAGGCCTCGCGGTCACCCAGGCATCTTGTTCCGGCTCAAAGGTAAACCGTGCCTTTTCCGATCCACGTGACCTCATTTTACCTCCAGGCGGAGGCACCCTCCGGGGGGGAGGAATGAGTACAAACTACAAATCCCAAAGAGCACCGCGCCGAGGTTGCACACACGACCTCTCCCGCATGTTTACAGCATGCTGGGAGGTGTAGTTTCCCTAGGGCCGACGCCTTGCCAGTCCTCTAAATAGTAGGCGGGAAAGATGCTCTTTCCAGTTGCACCCGTGGCGCGGTCCGCATTTCAGTTAATCTCTCAGACACAAGAACCCCGTTTTGGCCAATACTCATATAGAATTAAATTATTCTCCCTGTCACTGGACGTTTATACACCCATTAAGCTAACGAAAAATTGGGGTGGAGAAGGAAATATTTGCTCTAATTAGTTGTATTATCTTGCCCTGATTTTTTTCTTATTTTCCTGAAGTTCCCACCTGTCAACCAGGGTCTCACATTTCCTATTGTCTTGAGATTTGTTGATCTCATAGAAACTGATTCTTATTTATACCATGTTTTATCAGTCCATCTTTCTGCAAACATTTACTGAGCACCCATTGTGTGCCAGGCCTAGTGAGAGATTCTGGGAAGGTGCATTAATCAGACAGTCCTTACCCTTGGGGAGCTCCCTGTCTAGAAGGGTGGACAACTAAGAAACAATTACTCTGCAATGTGTTAAAGTTCAAAAGCTTCTTCTAGAACTGTTTAAGAAGGGTCCTATAATGACAGCTCCAAGCTTCTCATCCACCCACACCCCCACCCCAACAACTCCCCAGAATCGCAGTTTGTCTGCTCCATTTTTGTTTCTAGAATCTTCCAGAAATAGGAGAAGCAAGAAGGTTGCTTCAGTAATGAGAAATGATTTGATCTCCTTGAAAGAAAAACAATGCTTAACTTATAACTGTAATGCTGTGACTCACTACTGAATTTCGCAGACTAAATGAAAATTTTCAGTTTAATCCAGGCTATCACTTTCTTCCATTGACTTTTGTGGGAAAAAAATCTTGTGTGATTTTATATGAAGGAGGAGGAAATTTCAGGGTTTAAGTGTTCAACTTTTAAGGTATATTTATAGAGAAAAAATGATATTGATTTCTATGCATTCACATACCATGACTCGTGTACATTGCTTATGATTCTTGACACAGTAAACACACACAAAACAACCACTCTTCTGCCCACTGTATTGATGATATGACTGCTAAAAGGACAGTTTCTTACCATTCCTCCTCACCAGTCCTTATAGTTGGTTCTCTATCCTCTTCCAACAAGTTAATGGCTTGATTAAGAATTTTTAAATCACTACCTTGCCTCCATTCTAATTTTGGCTAAATAATTTTATCTCCAATAATTTTATTTGGTTTCCTCCCCCAGTTGTTTATTTAATTCTATTAGTGTTTTGAGATTCTGAGCATGAATTATCTGCTAATAAAATAAAAGTGTATTTCATTATCCAGTGTGTGTATGATTCAGATCCCTCTGGGCATGCAGTTGCAGCCGGACTCAATTTGAGTTTTAAGAAACGTCAATCTTTGAAATCCAGTTTAGAGCCTGAAAGGAGGCTGGTTATTTTGCTGATTATTCAAATGAATTGATAGTCTTGAGATAGAAAATCTGGCCACAGTGGACTCTTGAACATTTAAAATCCAAATGCAAAGTCATGAGTGTATGTGTGTTAATACTTAGTTACCTGCAAGGGAGAGAGATTCCTAGGAACTAATTACACTGTTGACTGATAATTCCTGGATTTAGCATGAAATCCAGAGTGAAATATCCTCTATATGACAAACTGGAAAAGGGTCATCCCTAAAACCTTAAAGGCAAAATCTCTCTGCCATTAAATGCCTACAGTAGCTAGACGAAACCATTTCCTGTAAAAGAAGCAAGCCTAACACGGATATAGTGACCCAATAGTATAAAAACCATCATCTCTTGAAAAAAAAAATCTATTGAAATGATATGGATGGAATATTCCCATACAGGTAGTTCCTTAAAAGCAATTCAGTTATTTCTTCATGCTATCTTATACAACTTTAGAGGAAAAGAAGAACTTAAAAGTAGGTCATCAGTAAAGAGAACATCATTGACATATGTGAACCAAATAAATCAGAAGAAAACAGTGTCACTTTTGTTTTCTCTAGCCACTATTTAACATAGTTCTCAGCAAATACTAGGGCTCAGTAAATTTATATTGAATTGAATTCAGCTGTAATGAAATAAATGCAATTGAACTAACAGCATTGGCAGATGTGGTCTTGTATAACATCCTTTTGACATCCCCTTATAAAAGATTGTGATTTTTATTAAATCTAATGTGAGAAGAAAAAATATGACCTGAAAATGGATAAAAGATCAGGTATTTTAGACAGAATGGGTCACATAGACGATTTTCAGATATACTGTATACCTTCACAACAGATCATTTCGATGCCTCTCGACTAAAAGAGAAATCTATCAAGCAGATGTTACCCTTTCAGAGCATGAGACCCGGCCTCTGCCCTGTGGACTCCAGACACCTTTGTACCGGTTAAGAGATGGCGCAGGTCAGAGGCAGAGGACCGCAGAGCACGCCCCACGTGACATCGAATCGTCAGCCTCATCTAAGCTCAGACTATCTTTAGATTCCCAACTTTTACAAGGAACAGGTGGCTGCGGTCTAACATCTAGAAACTGCCATTTGCATGACACCGCGCGGCTGTTTTCTAGGTGCGGCGCGCGCCCTCCCGGCCCCCGTGCGGTGGCAGGCGTTGAGACGCGGAAGGCGGTGGGCGCGCAAGCCGCGCGCTGCGGTTGCTTTCAGGGCGAGCCGCCAAGAGTTTGCAGGTGATTCGGCCATCCATCAGCGCACGGTGCAAACTATAAACAACAACAAAGTGTGGGGGAACACCTTTGCCTCCTGCGCTTTCTTTGCCTAGTCTCCGGTCTCAGTTCCCTCCTCAAACGAAGTGATGTCTTTCTGCACCCAGTTCCTGCGCCGCGCGCGACGCACAACTGTGTCACGGACTCGGGAACTGTGCGCGGCTACAAGCTTGTCTCCAGGCTGGGGGACCAGCAAAGCGGGCTCTTTACCTGGTCCAGGCAGCGCCACCCCACCTACCCTTTGCCCTCAGAGAAGAGGAACGGTTCGCAGATTGGGCCACGTCGCACCGAACCCTGCTGCCGCCAAACCCAAGGCGCTCCCTATGCCGCAAACATGCCGGCTCCGGGAGGCAATTGCTTCTGCAGTGATGTTTGCCTCCCCGCCTTTGTCCCTCTCTGCGCGGGCTCCGGAGCTGGATTCCGGCCGGGGTATGCCGCAGTTGGCGCCAGGACCACCTACACCAGGAAATGCAGCTCCAGTCCAACTGCGGCCTCGGCTGCGCCAAGTTCCTGACCTTTAACCCTGACCCCGGCCCCACCCTCCAGGTGGGGAGAGCCAGACCTCGCCTGCTGCCCGACCGCTAGCCGCTCCACCGAAAAGCGCGAGGACTTCCGTGCGTTAGCACGCCAGGCAATCAATCCGAACAAATTTAGCTTAAAATGATTTATTTTTTTCTCTTTAAAAATATTTACAGATCTAGAATCTACCCCCTTCGCGCCTACCCATTCTCGGAACGAAGGAAACGAAAAGAGGCGTTGCGATAATAGTCCAAAGCCCCCAAGGAGGAGGGCTGGCTTGGCTGGCTGTGTGTGCATGTACATATATACAGGTGTATATACGGGGAGGGGAGTGTACCTGGTTTTGCTGTTTTTCTGATTTTTTTTCCTAATAATGTCAATCTAGCCGAAACTCCCTTTCCCACCACCACCCGAGAAAATGGTTTTCGAAGAGTATCGGTGTGTTTCGGGTGGAAAGCAGGCGATCTGGCTCGAAGAATGTCGATAAATACTTGAAACCATCCAAACAAAAAGTAGGCAGAGGCCATAAATAAGAGATAATGAATACACATGGTGTATTTCTTAATATTACTGGGAGCACGCCGCCTTGCTCCGGAGCCCTACGGGGAGGGCACCGACGCCAGGCTTGCGGGGAGCAGGCGGGCGGCGCGGGGCCGCGGGCCGTTCAGTAGTCGAGCTTGTTGTAGAGGTTGTAGAGCGGTAAGGCCGAGAGGTTGCTGCCGGGGTAGTAGAGCGGCGCCGGGAAGGCGAGCGAGCGCGGCACTGGCACGCGCAGCAGCGAGCTGTCCCGGAACACCAGCGGCATCCCCACCAGAGTCTGTGCTGACGCGTGCGCCATGTTGGCCGCCTCCAGCTCGGCCGAGAGCTGCCTCTTCCACTTGTTGCGGCGGTTCTGGAACCAAGTCTTGACCTGCGTCTCGGTGAGCTGCAGGCTGGAGGCGAGGCAGGCGCGCTCCGAGCTGCTCAGGTAGCGCTTCATGTCGAAGGTGGACTCCAGCTGGTACACCTGGCTGCGCGAGAACACCGTGCGCGTCTTCTTCTTGGCAGCGCCTGCCTGCCGCTCGGCGCCGCCGTCCCGCGGCCGCTCGGGCCCGGGCGACGGCGAGCCGGCGGGCAAGAGCCTCTCTTTCTCTTCCTTAAAGTCCGGATGCGAAGGAGAGAAGAAAGGCGTACGCTCCGAGCTCGTTGGCCCCGCGCCTCCGCCGCCTTTGGGGGTACCTGGGGAGTGAGAATAGACAGGAAGGCCATGGAGTCGGGGAGACTCAGAGACCCCCCAGTTCTATCCGGGACCAGGGGGCTGGCGAGCAGCTGCAGCCTTGGTCCCAACCCTTTCCTCTTCTCTCGTTGGAACCCAAAACCCAGCACCCCGGCCTTTAAAAACAGCAGGAGAGGGACCCTTCGAATATGGGGGTCTCTGAGCTCCCAGCTTCGTGAAAGGACATGTGGCAACAGGGGTTGGAGGTCTGCAGGGGGAACATTAGCCTCATTTTAAAAGGTGGTTTTGCCTTGTAATAACTGAGCTGGAAGAGTTCCCCAAGCTTTATAGGGTGGCATCATTTCACAGGCCGTTTGTTCGGAAATCGCGCTAAGGACTACGCGGGGCTCCCCTTCGTCAGATGTTGTAAAGAGGAACCATCTCTGAAAGGCACCATTGTCAATCATCTTGGAGTGCTAATCATTCCCAGGAGGAGGAGAGAGGCAGAGACAGCGGAGAAAAAAGATGCTGAAAGAGATTGCGGTAGAGAGGGACAAACCGCCCAGACCCAACTTCCAGACCCGGTGTTCGGAAAGTGTCCGATGCACAATGGGGGATGTTGACCGCAGATCCCTGTGGACGACCAGGCCTGTGCCCCCACTGTGGTACACACTTCCTCCAGCCCAACCTTCCCCGAGACCGCACCGTGCGAGGTCTGTGTCCGCGGTCTACGCCTGAGCTCCCGCCAGGCAGAGCAGGCAGCACCTCGCGAGCGACCCCTCCCTTCGCCCCGCGACCGGAGGTGGCCGCGGCTCTTGCCAGAGGGGGCCCGGCGTGCGGACCCGGCACAGCTTCCCGCCCCTGGAGCCTGCTCACGGCCGACCCGCCGGCGTGTGATCCTTACCCAGACAAGGAAAGGGGATGGGGGGGTGGTGCTTGGGGCCCAGCTCCTTGGGGCCGTGCGGGTCTGGGCAGAAGCAGGCGGGTGCCTTCCAGCCGTCGTCCGGCTCCTCCTCCTCCGAGGACACCGACAGGCTGCGCTTCCTGGCCGGCCAGCCGGCGGGCTCCCGTGGCACTTCCGAGGGGCCCCCGCCCAGGATAGACTGAATGGTAAAGCTGGAGACGCCGCCGGCCGCCGGACACCCTTTGCCCGCATCTTCCTTGCTGCCCATCCTGGGTTCATAAGAAATCAGAGGAAACCAAGAACTCCCTTTAGAGACGATCTGGGTGAAGGTGGTGCTGGTAGGCAGGCGGGTGGGGAGGGGAAGGGAGGGGAGGGGGGCCAAGGGGAGGGGGCTGCGAAGCTGGCGAGGCGTCCCCTCAGCGCTGGGGACACGCTGGCACCGGACGGTTGCTCTGGGGTCCCTGCCCGCCCAGTTCTGGGTGCGCTCGCCCAGCCCCGGCGCGAATGCCCCTTGCCCGCCAGTTCGCTGGGACTCCGGCTGAGCGGAGGTGGCGCTGCCTCATTTGCATAGAGGTTACTCGGACGCGGCCAATCACAGCGCCGCCGAGCGGCCCCGGAAATTTTCAAAAAGCCCAGGCCCAGCACGGCAGCGCCTGTGCGCCGAGTAGCACACCGAAAGCGCGGCCGGCATCTGCTGTGTTCAACCAGGTATAGCGGGAGCCGAAAGCAGAGCAGATGCCAGGCCGGGTTCCTAGCCTCTGTGGCGACTCCGACCGCTCGGACCCCGAAGGGCGGGGCAGCAGCAGCGACCGCGCGGGCCTGAGAGCTAGAGTGTCCCGAAGCCTCGCTCATGCGACGGATCCTCGAACCCTCGGAGGGGCTCGCACGGGCTTCACCACTACTCTCCCCCAGCCTCCTACCCCTTCTTGCCAGGGCGGACAAATGGGGCTGGCACCCTGCAGACGGTTGCACCCCACGCGGGAAGGAGGGGCGGATTTAGGAGCATGCGTCTCGGAACTGATACTCTTACCCCGGAGCTTAACTGGGAGGTCCAGGAGCAGACAACTTCTGCCCTTGCCTGCCAACAGACCACACTTCTGTTACAGGCCCATAAGGCTGGTGATTTCGGGACACGGGGGGAACCCTAGATCTTGTTGCAAAGGATTCTAGTCCTGGTTCTAGTCCCAGGACTGCAATTTACTTGCTGCGTAAACTAGGACTGGTGGAAACCTAATCAGAGGCTCAGTGCCCTCATAGGTGAAATGAACTCGAGCATCTTCCCCCCTTCTCTTGTTCTGAGGATGGCCTTAGATAGGAATGGAAAACGCCAGAGAGCCTAGACGCACTACGAGCTCATGGTAGGTACTCTGTAAACCTTTGCGGGATAGCCCAAGAGCTGCCCTCCTGTTCCATAGTGATCTTTTTTTGATCAACATTGGAGGTCACGTAATTGCTGCAAAAGTGAATCACTGTTCTCCCGGAATGGAAAGGAGGTGATAACAGGGACATGATCTTAGAATTAGGCATTCTAACTTTAACTTTTGATTCAAATCTCGGCGGAGTGACCTTGGACAGGATACTTAAACTCTTCTGAGCCTCGGTTTTCTCATTCCTAAAATTGGGGAAGCAATTCTAACCCACTAGGTTTGGTCAAATTGTCCAACTGCGAGCCCGCCATGCGGTAGGCGCTCAATAAACCTGGACCTCACCGTCGGCTCTGAACCCCGGCTCTCCCCGCTTTAATTCCCAGTCTTGCTGTTACGGGATCTAGATTCAGCGCGACGCAGGCAAACGGTTCAGGGGCACAGCTGTCTGTCTACACGAGCCTTGAGGAAAAGAAGGTGAGGCAAGGCCCCGAGGCTCTCAGAGACAGTTCCACCGAGATATCCCAGAACTCTGCCCTAACGCTGCTCCCCAGATGCAGCCAAGGATGAGAGAAGACTCTGGAATCAGTTCCCACAAATGTCCAGATGCTGCGCCATGACGGTGCAGTTCGCTCCTCGCTCGCGCCGCGAGGGGGTTATGGAGTAAAGCGCTTATAATATCATTAGCCGCGGTGAGTTACCGACTGCAGCCCTACCCGTAGCAGAACCTCTCGCTACTTAACTCCTCGAAGGGCTCGTTAATGGGCTAATTGATTAGGAGTCAGCGGCGCAGACGGGGCTGGGGCAGGCGAGGGAAGTGGGGGCCAGGGTCTGTGCGCCACGGCCCGGGAGGCCAGCGAGGGGCAGGTGTCGCCCTTCGTCACCACATTAACCTCTTCAGGGCTCGGCGGCGGGGTTGAGACACATTACAAATGGTCAGCTTTAATCATGGTGTCAGCTCATTAACCCGGAAGAACCCAGCGCTGAAATACAATTTGTGCGTCCTCCCCCGTGCGGCCGCGTCAGAGGCTCCAGGGCCACGCAGCAGCCGGTCCTGCACTCCCCGCACCGTTGGGGGATAGAGGGGAGGTTCCTGGAAAGAAACACCCCACCCTCTCACCCCGCTGCGGCCTCTCAACCTATCGCCAGCATACTGAGTGGGAGCGGTCTGCGGTCTCCGGGTCCGGGCAGGCGACCCCGCAGGAAACTGGCCATCCCAGCGAGCAAAGCCAGGGCGGCCACCCGCTGGGGAAGACCTGGGAGTTGCGGCGAGAAGGGCGGGGAAGGAGGAGGGAGTTGGCTGGACCCTTTCCCATCATTCTTCACTTTAAACCATACAGCAAACCTGTGGTACAGATCTTTATCCCCAATGTACAGATGGGGAAACTGAGGCTCAGGGGGAAAAGAGGGACCAGCCCAAGCAGACTACTGATCAAGACCGAAACTCAAGGTTGTAGCTACTGCCTGTACCAGGCCTTGGGAGGTGGGGGAGGGGCGGAGCAGCCATCGACATTGAGCTTGGGGAACGATTGTGGGGAAGACTGTGAGGGACCCTTTCTATCTCCGTGCCGCGGAGGCGGATGTGTGGATGGAGCTGAGGACCCGCAGGGTCGACCTCTGCCAGGGTAGGGATAGTGCGAGGCGGCAGCCGATTATCTGGGGTGGGCCTCGGAGCAGAAGCCTGGAAGCGAAGGACTCGGGGACTGATCCCTAAAGCCTGGCTTGAGGACTCTAAATTGGGAAACCATGTAGTCTCGCGACCCCACAGCCCCCCACTTCTCTGTCCCATTGCCCATCCAGGATAGTTTGGGAAGTCAGACGGAGCCGTCTGGCCTCGTACCCCGCCTGCCAGCTAGCGCCTCTGCATTGACGGTCGGGTCTACATCAAGATGCTCTCCAAAACAAGAGTCCTGTGCAGTCAGACCCACAACCACATCCACCCCACCCCACCCCACCCTTCCCCTCCTCTCGTCGCTCGACCCGCCCATCGCTGCACCCCTCCCGCC